CCCTAAGCGCCGAGATTGTGGGAGCGAGAGAGTCCCTTCTACTACCCATGGGGGCGCTGAGTATTCCTGAAGGAAGAACTCTGTAACCTTTTTTATCGTGAACCGTGCCTTTAAATGTACGTTCTGTTTAATATACGTACTCTACACACACAACGCATTCAACAGATTGGATAAATTCCATTCCTACCGTCCAAGTCCGCTGTGTTCAATGGAGGAGAATGAAGCAGCGAAATCGAAACTTCCTTTGTATCTGAAAAGGACTGCACCATAATGTGAGTAATGACAGAGGGTTTTGGAGAACTCAACGTCACCCAAAACTTTCACTTTGAAATATTCACCTATACAACTTCTATTCGGAAATCGAATCTTGCAATATTGTGGTGCTTCTTTACCAAATTATCAATTTATTTACTTTTTAGTTACTTTTCCAAATCATCTGTCTGCATGCGACAGATGGCAATATTTCCACAGTGTCTTGCGAGCTGTTTCGATGTTCGAAGCAATTTTCAACTTTGCGAAGAATTTCGCGAATCAGATGCCTATTCTACTATACCCAACCAGCTCATTGATATCAGGTTCTCTGTGACCATACAGGAACTGAGAATTTTGAAAAAAAAAACAAAATAAAAGCGAAATCAGAATTGGTGCAAATGGAACATGTCCTGAGACGCCTTGGCTTCAAGGGATGGCAACTGGACCTAACGGTCTTTTTCAATGCTCTGACTCATCAAGAAGCTCGTCGATCTAGGCCGCTTACGATTAGGAGAACTGATGAAAGATCAAAAGTGAAGAAAAAGGTGAAATAAAAGATGAAATGGCTCACTTCCTCCAGTTTTTGGCAAACTCGATGGGATGCATATAACGAACTTTTTCTGTACCATTAATTTTTAGGTGCTGATATTCAACAGTAGTTACCTGGAATTAAATCTTACACTCAGAATGACGAAACCGATTATTTCTTGTTATTCTGTGTTATCATCAATTACAACAATTTCTCAAGGCAAGTGAAATATTAGGCAAAACGTTTCCACAGTTTTGGGTCAAGACTTCGGTGAGTAGAAAGAAATACTGAAAGATCAGTGAGCTATGTAAGGCACGAAAGATTCTCAAAACCTCTAATTTGCTGGCTCGTTCTAGGCAGGTAAGGTGCAGTAGAAAATGCGATTAAAATGTAAATATTGACTACTTATTTAATTTTAAAGTTAGGTAAAGTACCACAGTAATCGATGGAGTATAAAAAGTACCTCTTTCGCTCCATTCAGCAACGCGAACACCTCAACCCATGGCGTTTGTGATCCAATAACGAAGCCGACTTTACCGTCCAATGGATGGAGCTCGAAGGCATGGTAAACAGCCACTGAATAATAAACAAGATATTATTTTAATCAAGTTGAGGGAAAAAAACCTCAACTTTGTCTGTTCCCAACCCTTCCCCGACGTGTCTTACTCTATGAATGTGCTATAAGCAATGCGCGTTTCTCTCTACCGAGGTCAGGGATGGCACTGGAAAGTAACGCTGTCAATATGAGCTCTCCGAATTCAAAGGCACTGTTTGCGATGATTCAATGGGCGGGTGTATCGATGACGTGCCCGCCTCTCATTCGGTGTCACGTCAGACAGTCTGTCGTGGCGTCGAATGAGAGGCGGACACGTCATCGACACACCCACCCATTGAATTATT